CCATATAAACACTGAGTTGAATGGCTGAGGTCATTTCATTTTCCCATATTTGCATCAGAAATCCCAGGGCTTCATCTCACTTGCCTAGCTTCAACTAAATGCCCATTCTTGAACTCTATGGCTAGGATTGGAGGTAGCAGAACAAGAGAAAAGTACACATGTATTATAACACAATGTAATCTTAGTGAGATCAAGTGCCCTGTTTGTCTTGTTATATCACTGCATTCCCAGCATCATAAAACACTGCTTGTCATATTACAGGTACTCTGTAAATATTTTTATAAGGGTTAAAAATTTTTGAATTTATTGTCTAAGCCCATGTCAAGGACTCATTCCTGGATGTGGAGAATGGGATTGGTTGCTCTTATATTAGCTGAATAAGAAATGCCAAGGTGTTCTCAAAGATCCAAAAAATTGTTAAAAAAGCAAAAATAGTTCCAGCTTTACAGAAAAGATATAACAAATGTCCTTAAAACAAGCAAAATTTTTGGAGACTATACTATGCAGAGAGAATGGACTGATTATTAGAAAAGAGAATATGTATTTTACTCATATTTTTTAAACCTATCTTTCATTAAAATGCAAAAAAAAAATCAATTTTTTCTTTTGCAGTTGACACCTGAACAACCTAGGTGTCAGGGGCACCAACCCACCATGCAGTAAAAAATCTAGGTATAACCTTTAATCCCTCAGAAACTTAACTAATAATAGGCTACTGTTGACTGGAAGCTTTACTGATAACATTAACAGTGAATTTAACACATATTTGGTATATGTATTATATACTGTATTCTTACAATAAAGTAAGCTAGAAAACTATTTTTAAGAAAATAAGGAAGAGAAACACATTTACAGTATTGTAGTCTAAAAAAAAATCCCCATATAAGTGGACCTGCACGGTTCATACTCATGTTGTTCAAGGGTCAACTTTACATTGTTATATATTTTTTGAGATTGGTTAATCCTAAATCAGTTCCCAAGAACTTGGTTACCTGTGAATAGATCAGTTATCAAATATTTAGCCTATATTTCATTTAACACAAAGGAGACTGTACCACTGGACTACAGTAAGCATACCAAGGATCTGCAACAATGACTAGGTAAAGACCAAAGTCACTAAGTGCCTTATAATTCAACTTAAATAAGGAAATAAGAGAGATGTGAAAGAAGTTAAGCTCAATATGAGTTATGAAGAATTATAGTAAGTTTTTAAAATGATATATGCATTAATGCTGAAGATAAAATTGCCATTGAGACCAATTTCTCCCTTTGTTTTATGTTCAAGTACATTGTCTCAAGGAAGGAAGAAAAACAAAAAAAAGAAAATTAATATTATAGTAGTTATTTTGGTATACATGTGTATTTGTAAGTATTACAGTAAATAGAATTGTACAGTGGAGTAGAAACCTTATGGGCATTTTTAAAGCCTGTATCTGAGCTTCATGGTATTTGTAAAGTTTACTGATGTTGTCAGTATAGCCCTCCAAGTGATGGCATTTAGAGGCAGAGACTTTGGGAAGTAATGAGGTGTAGATGAGGCCAGGAGAACTGAACTCTCTTGACACTCACACACAAAGAGGTTATGTGAACACAGTTACACAGCCACCATCTGCAATCCAGAAAAGGGCCCTCACAAGAATCAAATCTGCCAGCAGCTTGGTCTGGGACTTCCCAGACTTCAGAATTGTGATAAATAAATGTCTGTTAAGCCACCCCGTCCATGGTATTTTATTATAGCAGCCCAAGTTGACTAAGATGCTCATCAAGTGTGTTCAAGAAGCATATAGCTCTGATTCCTATGAGCACCCGTTTGTGACCATAAGGGAAGAGTATCTCATGATAAGATTAATATGTAAAAGAGAGAAAACTGAAATAGTTGGAGAAAAAAAAGACACAGACGTTCTGACTGAAACTGCCTGAAATTTGTACCACTGATAGACTTTGGGTCACAAACCAATACATTCACATATTCTTTAAGACAGTTGAAATTCTGTGAAATTCATTTCAAACTATCACAGCTGAGGGACTTCTCTCTACCAAAACTCTCTCCTGCACTTGTTTACATCATTTTCACTTATTTAGATAATCTCAGTATATGGGGAATTCCAAGGATTATTCTTATCATGGTGGTTGATTTTCACAAAATCTTTTTAGTGGGAACCGCCATACTTTTCTGAAGGAACTTTTTATTCCCTTGCCATATAACTCAACAGAGGACATTTATTACTGCTAGATATGCATCATTTTCCCAGCATGCCTCCCCTAGTGCCATGATGTTCCACTTGAATTGATTTTATCACTGGGTAATTTGTTCCTTCACATCATGGTTTGTACAAATTCCAGTTTGGATCAGCTACTTATATTTTTGTTTTGTTTATACTAACCAATCAATTTATAACTCCTTTTAACTATAGCAATCTTTACCTTCTGTTTCTGTTTTTAAAGGTTCATACAATTTTCTTCAGTCACACATTTCAAAATACATTTTGTGGTAGAATATGTTCAAAGATGTTTGAAAAAGTTCCTCTTGTGATACTTTACTATGTGACTTTGCCACATTTCTGTCAAGAAGAGGAGTTTACCTAACTTCCCCTTGAATCTGAAATGGCCTTTTCTTTTTTTTTTTTTAATGTTATGTTAATCACCATATAGTACGTCATTAGTTTTTGGTGTAGTGTTCCATGATTCATTGTTTGCGTATAACACCCAGTGCTCCATGCAGAACGTGCCCTCTTTAATACCCATCACCCGGCTAACCCATCCCCCCACCCCCCTCCCCTCTAGAACCCTCAGTTTGCTTTTCAGAGTCCATAGTCTCTCATGGTTCCTCTCCCCCTCCAATTTCCCCCCTTCATTCTTCCCCTCCTGCTATTTTTTTTTTTTTAACATATAATGTATTATTTGTTTCAGAGGTACAGATCTGTGATTCAACAGTCTTGCACAATTCACAGCACTCACCATAGCACATACCCTCCCCAATGTCTATCACCCAGCCACCCCATCCCTCCCACCCCCCACCACTCTAGCAACCCTCAGTTTGTTTCCTGCGATTAAGAATTCCTCCTATCAGTGAGGTCATATGATACATGTCTTTCTCTGATTGACTTATTTCGCTCAGTATAATACCCTCCAGTTCCATCCACGTCATTGAAAATGGCAAGATTTCACTCTTTTTGATGGCTGCATAATATTTCATTGTATATATATACACCACATCTTCTTTATCCATTCATCTGTCAATGGACATCTTGGTTCTTTCCACAGTTTGGCTATTGTGGACATTGCTGCTATAAACATCGGGGTGCACGTACCCCTTCGGATTTGTATTTCTGGGGTAAATATCCAGTAGTGCAATTGCTGGATTGTATGGTAGCTCTATTTTCAACTTTTTGAAGAACCTCCATACTGTTTTCCAGAGTGGCTGCACCAGCTTGCATTCCCACCAACAGCGTAGGAGGTTTCCCTTTTCTCCACATCCCGGCCAACATCTGTCATTTCCTGACTTGTTAATTTTAGCCATTCTGACTGGTGTGAGGTGGTATCTCATTGAGGTTTTGATTTGGATTTCCCTGATGCTGAGTGATGTTGAACACTTTTTCATGTGTCTGTTGGCCATTTGGATGTCTTCTTTGGAAAAATGTCTGTTCATGTCTTCTGCCCATTTCTTGATTGGATCATTTGTTTTTTGGGTGTTGAGTTTAAGAAGTTCTTTATAGATGTTGGCTACTAGCCCTTTATCTGATATGTTGACTTGCTTCAATAATTGAATGTCAAAAGTGAAGTCATATTTTCTGGGCTTAGGCCTTAAGATAACTTGTAGCTTCTCTATTTGATCTCTTGGAATGCTACCCTGAGAGTGTTGTGTAAGGAAACTGGCTGGTCTACTGCATAATGACAGACCACATAGAGGAGAACCAATCCACCATCTAATAATCAGCGACACTGCTAGACAGGTGCATGAGGCCATCAGAAACTTTTCAGCTAATCTGACCCTCTGATGTATGTAGGTAAAACAGCAGAAGAATCATCCAACTAATCCTGAGAATCATGAGAAATAACAAATTATTGTTGTCCCAAGCCACTAATTTAATGGTTTATTACATAGTTGCTGACATCTGAAACAAAAATATTAAACACAAATATCACACCAACCCAAAAGATGCAATGACATTTGTGAAACTAATGGACTTAAATATGCATTTTCATAGAAACATTTACTTAGTTGTTAAGGGATAAAAAATTTTATGTAAATAAACTATTTTTAAAGATCCTATTTTTATTAATATGTATCTAATTTATTTTACATTTTATCTTATTTTACTGAGAGGATGGGAGAGAGAGTATGCACACGAGTAGGGCGGGGAGGGACTGAGGGAGAGGGAGAGAGAGAATCTTAAGCAGACTCCATGCTCAGTGCAGAGCCCCATGTGGGGCTCGATCTCACAACCCTGAGATCATGACCTGAATGGAAATCAAGAGTTGGACTCTTAACTGACTAAGCCACCCAGGTGCCCCAAATTTAATTTATTTTAAATTTAACTCAGAAAAAAAAGTAAAAAGGAATTCATAAATATCAGATAATTGGGCCTATTATACATTTTTTAAAACAGACTTCAATAAATTAATTTTTTACTAAAGCATACCCCATTTACAGAAAAGTGTATAGCTCAAGGACTTAATATATATTAGAGCTATTTTTAATAATGCTAATTAATCTTTTGTTCTTAAGAGACCTTGAGATAGGCAGAAACTCTATTTCTCCTTGTTTATTCTTTTTCTAGCAAAATAGTGCACATTGGATTAATTCATTAAATATACTAGTCTGTTTTCCTATAACTCTACATATGTATACCTAAAAATTACCGGTTATGAAAATTGAGCAACAAAATAAACTGGGGTTCCAGGGCAGGTGGAATAGGGACTTAAAAGTGGTGGCACAGTTTCATATATATTAAACTATTAAGTACTACGTAAATGCTACAATATATATGTCACCTTACCTTGAAAAAGACCTGAGGTTTAGTTGTGAAAGAGGGATGCAAAAAGGATGAAGCTCCTGAGTTATCATGAAGTGGTGGAAGTAGTCATCCAAAAGTGGACTGAAAGTTGTTAACACCAGCTGTGGGTGGGTGAGGGTCGTAACACCTGGTGAACAGAAGTAGCTGGCAGATGTGTATTTTTGCGGATTACTGTGCTGTTGGACAACTTGTTGCAGTTTTCTGGGTCCATCTCATGTTTCTCGTGAAGAAAATCACACATAAACAAACATAAAATTTGCTTAAATTGTTTCCAATATATCAATTGCATTGGAACAAGTTCCATTTTTATTTTTATTTATTTTTTATTTTTTTTTAAGATTTTATTTATTTATTTGAGAGAGAGAGAATGAGAGACAGAGAGCACGAGAGGGAAGAGGGCAGAGGGAGAAGCAAACCCCCTGCTGAGCAGGGAGCCCGATGTGGGACTCGATCCCGGGACTCCAGGATCATGACCTGAGCTGAAGGCAGTCGCTTAACCAACTGAGCCACCCAGGCGCCCACAAGTTCCATTTTTAAAACAAAGCATTATCGTAGAACTGATAGCTCTTGAATTACTCATATTTTGAAACTCTCCTATTTGTTTGTTCATTTACTGAGTTTAGACAAAACTTCATTTCTTGTTTTTTTGGTGCCTGTAACATATTTGAACTATTATTTTCAATGTTGAGTGAGCTTCAGGATCCACACTTCAAGAGTAGATTATAAATCTACTATGAATCCCTTCTTCAAATTAATGGAAAGTTACCGAAAGAGAACTGTCCTGCTATTCCAGACTGTTTCAAATCATATATTTTAATTTATCCTCTGGGGAGCAAATCTTGGAAATAGGTAAAATAAATGAAGATATGTTAAATAAAAGGTTATTATTGGAACTCACAGTCTAAGGCCCTCTGGAAATAAGAACCACAGCATCTTAAAAAGATCCTTTGTTAACTTGCTTTAATTATTTATCTCCAAATAGCAACCTCAATCATTATCCCAAGGTTTTAATTCTCTGAATGGCAGATTTGAGGTGTCTGAAACTTACTGCATAAAATAAGAAAGTCCAGGCTAAAAAAGGGCAGATGTCAATTCTTCACTATCAAATAGGTGATAGAAAGAGGTTAAAGGAGGTCTTGACCATTTACTGCATGCAGCCATTTTATAATTGCCCACTATTCTTTAAAAGTCAGATAGCAAACCAATTATTTTTAATCAATTCATTTCAACAAATAAATGATGTTAATAAAGGTTTCATGAAACTTTTTCATGAAATAGAATTGTGAATTCTATTCACAATTGTTAGTTCTTGCCAGAATTATAGGTAAATTATAAATATATACTGTCAACACCCTCCACTGTTCATAATATTTGATTACCAGGAGCAATGAAGTTCTTCATGATAGCTGCTTTGGAATGCCAATTTGTTCTGATACCTGATTAAAGAAAAGCAAATAAGACCTCAAACATTATCAGTATTTTGTATATATATGTTTTTTTTTTTAAATAATTGCTTTATTTCAGGGTCATGGGCAAGCACTGTAAGGCTCTAGCACTTTTACAGTTTTTTTTTATCCCCCCACACAATTATCTATCTAGCCTAAACAGCTGAAAGTTTGGTGTTTATCATTTACTCAAAGATTATGAATTCAATTCTCCAAACTCAGGAAATTTAGAGCATATCCAATTTTTCAGTAATTCCTTCCTAACTAGGTTAGATGGAGTTTCAAATAGCTGCTAGAGATTGAAAGTTTATGTCCCTCCCCTCCCCCCCACCTAATTCAAGGCAGCCAGGTAGGGGATCTCCAGGAGCACGGCAGACACCAGGTAAACAAACAAATTCCAGAAGCTCCAGGTTGTTGTGCAGGTGACAGGGCCCCTGTGGACAGCACTTCACCTTGACTTCTGGTTGTGGTCCTGCATGCGGAGCGGCAGGAGACCCTGGCTCAGAAACTCCATGGCACAGCTGCTTAACTGAATGCCCGGCAGGGCATCGTAAGCATCCTTCAGGTCATCCTGAGTCTCACCTAAAATGATTTCAGAGAAGCCTCCCATCATCTCACGATCTTTTTACATCAGAGTTTTTCCTTTTTAAGCACGTATCATACCAAATACAAGATAACAGTTAATTCTCCTTTGTTCATGACTTTATACCTGGCCCCTGAGCAGGACCTGGAACAGTAGCTACTTGTTGAACTAATCGGATGGGGTCACCAATTATTCAACAACTAGAAAGGGGCACCCGCGATGATTTCTTAGTGATATCAGTCATTGTATGATGCATATAAGGATATAGACTGAATTGCCCCCCCAAAATTCATATGTTGAAGTGCTAAGCACTCCTCACCCTATGTGAAGAGAGCTCCCCATGGAGCTCTGATCTGATACAATTAGTATCTTTATAAGAAGGGACACCAAAGAGTGCTTTCTCTGTCTCTCCAAACACACACATGAAGGAAAGGACATGTGACCACACAGCAAAAAGGTGGCTATCTGCAAGCTCGGAGGAGAGCTCTCACCAGAACGGAACCATGCTCATCCCTGATCTCAGACTCCCAGCCTTCAGAGCTGAGAGAAAAGAAATCTCTGTTGTTTAAGTATAGTGTTTTGTAATAGCAACCCAACATTGCCTTATGTCCGTGTGAATCCTCTAGGCTCTAGCAGATGGTATTTTCAAGATTATATTAGACCAGTGATTTGAAGAGATTTTTATCTTTGGGAAAGTAGGTCAAGCTTCCTCACCTATAAAATGATTTATAGGAGGATCCTAAGGAAAAATAACACAGAATTCCTGTAATGAATATAAAAGAGCATAAAGTTTAATGAGCTGCATTCAGAAGACATAAGAATTAGGTAAAGCCATTAATTTAATGGGAGATGCTAGTTCATAACCACCTAGTTACCTTTTCTCCCAAGATTAAAAGTGAAGCTGTTATGCATGTTTTCTCATTCTAGATACAGAATAATGTTGAATCTTAAATTTACATTTGTCAGATATCTGGTATGATTATTTTTTAAAAAGTTGTCAACATAGGAAATGTCAGATGCAATATTTTGTAGTTTTAAGTAAGATAACCTAAATATAAATGATATTTGATATGGAAATTTATCTCTGAATAATTTTCCAAACTTAAAATAAATCAGCATAGGGGCACCTGGGTGCCTCAGTCGTTAAGCGTCTGCCTTCAGCTCAGGTCATGATCCCAGGGTCCTGGGATCGAACCCCACGTTGGGCTCCCTGCTTGGAGGGAAGTCTGCTTCTCCTTCTCCCACTCCCCCTGCTTGTGTTCCCTCTCTCACTGTGTCTCTCTCTGTCAAATAAATAAAATCTTTAAAAAAAAAATAAATCAGCATATTTGGTGTTTAAATTCTAATGAACTCAGGCAGTTCTGATGAAAGTTATTACCTTGTATTATTCCTCACTTCCTTGAGCATACCCAGATGATGAAAAGAAATTATAGGTAATGTTAATGTTATGCATTAAAAACATAGGAATACACAATTAATAAAATTAAACTGTCTCAGTTTTTTTGTTTCTTTAGGCACCTTTATAATAATAGCTTGAGAAGGCAGGAATATGTTACATTGTATGTGTACAAGGTGCTTTGTTATACTAATATGTTCATCTTTAAGGACATTAAATGACTTTAGTTTTCATCAATTTATTAATGCCACATTACCCAGACATGATGTTATTCCATTAACACTTAGAAAAAGGCTTAGAATGCTATATGAGTAGTGATATCTGATTTGTTTTGAGTCTCCTGCTCTTGATTAATCATTGGCCACTATTGAAGAGTTAGCTGCCCTATAAAAGGGTTTGTTTTTCTCTTTTTTGCCAACATGTTAGAGTCAAGTCTTGCCATATCAACATGGCACCAAACAGAGGTAACAGTAGAACAATGTAGTAGGAGTACATTCTCACTTAAAAATATAAAGGAAAAGAGGGATGCCTGGGTGTTTCAGTTGTTTAAGCATCTGCCTTAGGCTCAGGTCATGATCCCAGGATCCTGAGATCAAGTCCTGAATCAGGCTCCCTGCTCAGCGGGGAGCCTGCTTCTCCCTCTGTCTGCTGCTCCCCCTGCTTGTGCTCTCTCTCTAACAAATAAATAAATAACATCTTTAAAAAAAAAAGGAAAAGAAAGAACAAAATGTACCTTAAAATGATGTTAAAAGAAGGCAATGTTCAATATCCTATATAGACTAGAGTAAGATATGTCCTGTATGGACTAGAGTTGCATCCAGACATTTGCTAGGGAACTATCTCACAGTTTTACCTACTTTCCCTATTGCCCAATTGGTTAGAAAATTCAGATCTAATAAAAACCTAATAAACACAGGTTGAACCAAACAGGCTTTGCATTAGAGTTTAATACAGCAGAATAAAACCCTTATTATTTTATTATTTAAAATTTATTTATTTTTGAAAAAACTATTTTAAGAGACATGATACTAAAAGCAATCTTCACAACTTAGTTACTATTCCCACTGATTAAATAATACGTTATCAACCCCATAAAGAGCATTTTTTTCCCTTAATTTTATGTATTTATTTGAGAGAGAGAGAAAGAGCACAAGAGAGGCAGACTCCCTGCCAAGCATGGAGCCCGATACAGCACTTGATCCCGGGACTCAGGCATCATGACCTAAGCTGAAGGCAGATACTTAACTGACTGAGCCACCCAGGCGCCCACCATAAGGAGCATTTAAATCACTCCTCTCAACTACCTTCTCTCACTCCCTCAATGTTTGCTTTCCACCAAATGATAGAGATGACAAAGATAGACAGAAATAGAAATAGGAATAGGAATAGAAATAGATATCTTTTTCTCATTCAGTAATGCTTGGATTTCTCTCCCCTGCTATCAGATATCTCCCTTACACACCTCAGATTACCTTTTATTTTTATTACTTTCACATTTCCTTCATATATCTCTTCTTCCTTCTGTCCTCTGGCCAAGGTCCTCAACAGTATTGTGAAGAAAATTATCTAAATATGTCATGTTGGACTAAGGCTATTTGCTACCTAAAGCTACTGTCATGCCAAGTTGGCTTACACTACAGAAGATGTTAAAAAGTCACTGAATAAATCATAATTTTTCATTTATAATAGGTTCCTTTCCTATTTTTTTTCTGATTTAGTTATGTATCTATATTGACTCTCCTTTTAACTTCAAGAATTTCCCTCATTTGTGTTATGGCCTCTATTTGTCATCATGTTGCTTCCTTGACACACCCTTTACATTCGTGGCCCCCAAAATTTCAAATTTCTACACAAAAATTTCCCCTGTGGCATTTGTTAAAATTCTGAATCAAGACACACTCCTAGTGATTCTGATCCTATATTTCTTATATACTCATTCAGTTCTGATTAATGCCTAGCAATTTTTACTTCAATTATTTCAACTTCGTCTTTTGAATGAGGAATAAAGAGAGATCTTAATAACATCATCTAATCCCAGGAGAAGATCTGCTATGCAAAAGACAAAAAAGACATTCATGTACACTACGTATTTTATATCAGTAGGTCTAATAAATGTATGCAATTCTATATGCTTAGGAACATATTTTCTTAAACAATTCATACAGAGAGAGATGAATAGAAACTGAAATCATGTCTCTGAAAAGATGAAACAACATAAATCTAATCTGAAATATACAATGATCTAATCAGATAGAATACGTTATAATAAGAATGGGAGAATGTTATTTCTATACCACAGTTCTTAATATTCAAGTAGGCAATAAAAAATTGTTGAATATTATTCAAATACCAAAAATAAATGTAGAGTAGCCTCATGAAATCAGTTGTATAAAGTAGTTGAGATATTTGAAAGTTAAAATAGCTGTCATACACTGGGATAAAACATCTGCATCTTCTTTCCTACTTGTAAATGAGCAGGACAAACTTTTATAAAATATTTCTTTCCTTATGAGATTTTAGTTAGACTTATTTTTTTTCTGCATAGCCTCCTATTGCTCCATTATGCCTCTGACAATGTCCATTTAATTTGATGAACATGTTTTTTGTTCAATGTAAAATAGCTGAAATAACCTAAAATGTCTAATCCTCCTGATGTGCTCTGAATTCACAAAAGCTTCTAAAGAAATAATTGATGAAGCCAGGGATATTCTGTGGAATTGAAATTGTCAAAATACAGAGTTGGAGGCTATTTGGCTATTGGAATAAGGGAATGGAGTATGACAATTGAAAAGTATAATATGTCTGTCTAAATATATCTGCCCCTTTTTGGAGACCTTACTGGGAATGAAAATGGAAGCACTACAATAACTGAAAAAGAAACAGTGAAATGTAGCTATAAAATACATTCAATAACAGATGGTCAAGAGAAAGATTATTGAACCCAATATGAGAAATAGTGGTATCTATTATGATATTTAAAATACAATAGGTAAAGAGAAAAATGACATAGTCCATTTTAAATTCCATAATTTACATAAGAGGAATTTTCTTTGTCATTATAAAAGAAATAGGAGAAAAAATAGAGTATATAAATGAGAGTTCTAACAGCTATTCTTTTTTTTTTTTTTTAAGATTTTATTTATTTGCGAGAGAGAATGAGAGACAGAGAGCATGAGAGGGAGGAGGGTCAGAGGGAGAAGCAGACTCCCTGCTGAGCAGGGAGCCCGATGTGGGACTCGATCCCGGGACTCCAGGATCATGACCTGAGCCGAAGGCAGTCGCCCAACCAACTGAGCCACCCAGGCGCCCCTCTAGCAGCTATTCTTAATGATTGTTTCTTCAACAAATATTAAGTACACACTATGCCTTAAGCACTGAAGAAGGCACTAAGGATACAAAAATGATTAGACAGGGGAAGTAAAGATTGGCAGAAGTCAGACCATCAGAATATTGAAATAAAATATCTAGATTTTAGGAGTTCTGTGACCCAAAATAAGTTACTTCACATTTCAGATCCTTGGCTTATCTATCACTGTGAGAAATTTAGAAAATGCATTTGAAAGCACTATATAAAACCTACAGTACTGTACAAGTGAGACTTATTTTAATATTTAGTAACACATTACAACATGTATAAAAATTTAAGAATGTAAGGGTATGTTGGCACAGAAGCAACTGTATCTTTTGATAGGTCCAAGATATTTTATTGGAAAAAGTGTGCTTTGAGTGATGAGCAAACTATAACCTACTTGAGGGTAGTAGAATTTTGCCAGGATCTGTGCTGAGGATAGCCTCAGAAAAGATTTGTCAGGATGGCTACTAAGAAGGAGAAAAAAAAATCCAACCTTTATTGAGGAATAAGGGTTCACTGGGCCAAGCGGGGAGTGCAGAGGGTTGGAATGACACAGAGAGGCCAGATTGAATACTTTGCAGACTGTTTAGAATTCTCCAAGGAGATTATTTGATGGGAAAATAGTGATGGGCCTTCAAAAGAGATGCATGATTTTATGACCAATATTACCATCTGCCAGAATATAAACTGAGGTTACTATCAATAATTTTATTAAAGTTACACTTTGATACTTTATATCACAGAACTAATTATTTTGTGGTGATATATGCTTTTATTTTTTTAATTGTTATAAACATACACTTTGATTATTGATGACGTTAAGTAACTTAGTGGTTTTAGTCAAGAGAAATAAACCAATCTTCACAAATTAAAACAAAATTCCTCTTGGAAATTGGAAAAAAAATAATTTTTCACTGTGCAGTAAGGGCAGAAAGGACAAGAGGTTTTTGTTTTGGTTTGGTTTCGTTTTTGTTTTTAGAAGCAGTAGTAAAAATTTTACCTAATAAATAAGAGCTTTTGGCATCAAAGAGCTTAGAAGCTGTCATTCCATCTTAAAAAGTAAAAAGCTGAGGAAACTAGAAAATCAACAATTCTTAGATCCATCAGAGAAATGAGGTCACAGGCCAAACCACTGCCCTCAAAATTGGGGAAAGATTGGTGGATACTGAGAATTATCACTTACTAGAGCAGAGAACCAGGAGCAGAAATCCACAGGAACCAGTGCTGGGGTAGGAAACCTAAATTGTGATTGATAATATACATTCTGAATACAAGTTCGTTGTTACATATATGGATTATAAATATGGCCTAAGTTTGCATCTTATTAACACAGTTCTTTTATAACCAGTTTTAATTTTTAAATTATTTTTTCAGGTTTTTCCGGTTTTATTTATATAACTGACATATAACATTGTATATGTTTAAGGTGTACAGTATAATGATTTGATGTATGTTCTGAAATACTTACTGTCATAAATCTAGTTAACCTCCATCACATCATGAAGTTACAATTTCCCCCCCCTGTGGTGACTTTTAAGATCTATACTCTTAGCAACTTCCAAATATACAAAACTATATTGTTAGTTATAGTCATCATGAATATCCAGTTGTTTTTAATGTTAATAAAATCTAATTATTTTTCTTCATGGTAAATACTTTTACTGTCTTATTTAAGAAATCCTGAACACAAGTTCACAAATATAATCACATATTTTTTAAGAGACCTTATGATTTTAGCTTTTACATTTAGACCTATATTTTATCTGCCATCATTGTGTGTGTTTGTGTGTGTGTGTGTGTGTGTGTGTGTGACTTGAAAAAGGAGATCGAAGTCCATTTTTACAATATGGGCTATTCAGTTGTTCCAGTAACATTTGTTGAAAAAAACTTTCCTTCCCCCATAAAATTACATTGACACCTTTACTATGTGTGTTGGACTATTTTTGAACTTTCTCTTGGGCTTCAAAAATCTACATCTCCATCCCTTTACCTGCTTCACATGGTCACTTTTACAGTATCTTAAAAGAGGGTCTTAAAATCAGTTTCTGGGATTTAAACTAGTATCCCAACTCTCCACCTATGTGGAAACGATAGAGTTCAGGAAAAATCCATACACAGATTCTGACATTCATTTATCTATCCCTGCTTTTTCTCTCCCTTTCCTATTTTTGAGAGTTATGCTTGAATTGTAATAGCAACAAGACAATGAAATATATTAACATGTATTTCCTTGAGCATCATCTGCTTATCTTCTTGAGGAGGTGTGCTGCATTATTTTAATTGTTATGGCAGAAATATAAAAAGACAGAATGGTCAAATTTGAAATTTAATTACATAAAGAGAGATATTTGAAGAGTCTCAAAAGTAAGATTTAATGGGAAGAAGTATTTTCTAAATGCTATATGCTACTTAGTACAGCAAGAACCAGGACTAGAAGTATAAAAGAAAGAATTATATTATAGTCAAGAATAAGAGTCTGGTTTTAAAATATGCCTGCGAATTCCTTGATATTTGTCCATCAAATAATGGAACGTATTTTTCTTCCACTTAAATATAGGCCAGCTTATGTGAACCTCCCCTAGTAAGTAGAAATAACAGAGGAGAAACTACTCGACTTTTGATGCTAGGTTAGGAAAGGCCTGATACTTTCTTTTGGGACATTCATTTTGGCAACCCAACAATC